TGGCTAGCTTTCCCTTCTTTATCAGGAGCCTCATACAAAGCTGGTTGAGCCTTCCCCTAAACTACTCCTTTCCTTTCAACTGTTCAATTTGCTTACTGTGTTTTAGATGTCCATAATGGTCTCTTTACTCTTGCTTCACCCTTCTCATAATTTCTAATCTCAACATTTGTCCTCAAATCAGTTCATTCATCCACTTAATGATATGAACTACTCATTTATGAACAATTTCACTTTTTTTGGCTTTATCAACTACTTTATAATGATAAACTAGGAATTTTTGGTAGCTTCTCAAAATAATACTACACTATGTAAATCAACCAATAACTAGAATAATTATTACATTTTTAAAAAACTATATCCTTTAAAATATACCAGCTAAATTTATGTCAATTTGAAAAAGTCCTTGTTTTACTTATAATCTCAAAATCAATGCAGCACACACTTGTTGGGCACCCACTACATGTCAGATATTGTTCTACGCACTTACCTAGCAAGCTAAAATAATAAAATACCAGACCTATGCATGCTGTACTCTAGTGAAGATGACGGACAGCTTTAGTGCTATAACCACGGTACATCTAAGTGCCCTAGAAACCAATTTCTCCCTGTGAACTCAGAGAGGGACCTGAAGCCTCTTTGTTTTAATTGCATAGTGTGACAGAGTCCGATTTGTCAGGTCTGAGCTTCTAACTTAGTCAAAATCTCGATTTTGGAGGAAAAGGGTTACAAGGTAAGTGACATACAGTGAAACCTAAGAGATCAGTATGATGACAAACTGGAGGGGTGAGATCAATATTAACACAAGCTAATATTATTCATGCCTCAGGATCTTCATGTGATTTCTTTTTTTTTTTTTCTTCTGCAAGCCCATTTCAAGATTTCATCACCACATTCCTCAGTTTCATCTCTCAGACATTATCAATCTTTCTGACATATCACACACTCCTCCTCCTTCCACTCTTCCTGACTTCTAGATGAGACTGCTTCCATATATGCTGACGTTCTAGTCACGACAGTGATCCAGCCCTCCCTGCTCCAGCTACCTCTGCCATTAGGTCACTATCTTCTTCTTTAATACTCACTGCTAATTGTATTTGTTTATTTCCCACACATAATGCATGATGTAGTCACTTTGGTAACACTTTATTCCTATCGTCTGGTTATATGGAATTTCTTTTTTACATTCATGCATATTTTCTGTATAATTTCAGTAATTTACAAATATCTACATGTTTTATCCTTAAATTCTCTAGGTGGTTATGAAGTGGAAATGCAGCAATCTTTAGTTATTTTTCATAAATTTTCTATTTTCTTCTCCCAAATTTCCCATTAGCCGAATATGTATTTCTTCAGGGTGACAGTAGAGCTATATACAGGGCTGTCTTTCGGCATGCAGCACACATTTGTAGCTAGTGAGAAGCATTAGAGGTGAAATATGAATGCAAGGCAAGGAACAGGACTCGTTTCTGCCGTCTTTGCTCAAAATGTCTCTGCCCTGGATTAGGACAGTGTGTGGCCCACTTGGCTACATCCAAAATGGCTGCTCACATGACTGGTGCCCTCTGGTGGCAGGAGGGTGCACCCAGTGAGACGGCTGCGGGAGAGCCTTAATAGTGTCACCACACCTAGGGCCTGACAATCTCCTGGCTCCTATTTTGTTAATCTTGTATAGGCTTGATTCTTCCTTTTTCTTCCCTTCCTTCATTTTCCTTTTCTAAGGAATCTACAGGAGAAACTCAAGGATGATGACAGTATCAGCATTATGACTTGTGACATAAGGTTTGATTTAGTCACAGGAGAATACCAGTGGCTCTTGCAAAAGGATTATGAGCACATAATTGCCATTTGTCATAACAATAAAACAAAACATGAGCAGGAGTGCATGCTGAGAGCTTTTGCTCCACTGGAAGAAGATTTCCATTCACTGTGATAATTGATAAATGATAACTAAGGGCAACTGTGAAATATTCTTTACAAGTTGTTAACATTAGGGTCAAATAACACCTTTTAAAGATAATGTAAATTTCATTCTGTCTAAAGTTAGAGATGAACAAAGATGATCACTCGAATTCCTCTCTATTCACAAATTCTGAATCTTGTGTGTGAACACTACAAGTGTTTTTAAAAAGAAGTCACTATGATATTTATCTGCCATAAATGTATCAGTAGCTGTAGCAATATTTCACTTACTGTTGCTTTGCGGTCTGAAAAAGTTTTTGACCTCTCTAAACATGTCTGACTTCTGTCAATCCAGCTCAAAACTGTACATTTGATATCACCTGAATATATTAAATACTTTCTCAGAAAAACAGGAAATGTGCTTAGCTGTACCAGTTTATTAATGACTTGTGATAAAAGGAGCATTTCTATTTTTACTCTATGAGGAGCAAATTACTGCTCTAGGAATTATCACAGATATATCCTGAGTTCCAGAAAAGGGCCTATATAAAAATAAAATACTGAATTAAATTTGGTTGAAACTGATTTAAACTATCATTATTCATTTTATCATTTCATCAAACTTTTTTTGTACATTCAAATACAAAATAAATTTGAGAAAAACCTAGATCCATTAAATGAAATTGCAATAACTTTTTTTCTGTTTCTACTCTTGCCCTTCTAGAGTCAGTTCTCTGACACAGCCTGAGCGATCCTTTAAAAACATAAGTCAGACCATATCAATCTGCTCTCACCCGTTCTTGGCTTACATTAAAGTCCTCACCATGGCCTACCAGGTCCTACATGATCTATCCCTGGCTACCTTCCCAACAGCATTTCCTACCAGTATACTCACAATTATTAATGTTTAATTAAAATCAGAATATATAATATTAAGCAGTCAAACATTTGTGTTCTAGAACACACAAAGCATGCTTCTCCCTAAAGACTTTTGTACTTGTTGTTCCCTCTGCTTAGAATGCTCTTCCGCCCAGATGGTTCCTGGCTATGTTCCTTCACTTCGTACAGATCTGCTTCTGTCAGGGTTCCCCTAAGAACAAGAATCCACCTCAAACCAGGATAAGAAAAAATAATGAAGGAACTTTTACAGAAGTGTGTTTGGGATTAAGATAAGAACCAGAGCTGTTAAGGTACTTAGAGATTAGAAATAGGAGGAAGCTTGCACCATTCCTAGGCCTGAAGGGGCAGGTGGGGGGAAGAGTGTTATTGTAGCCCCATGAGAGCCAGAGCAGTGGGGCAGAGAGTCCTCAGCAGAAGCCATTGACATAGAAGAAATACCCTACCCTGACCTTTCTCTCCTTCTCCCTCAAATTTCCTACTGGTGCCAAACCTTGCTAGGAGCCAGTGGTGGAGAAACACAGGCGAGGCTATCCTCATTAGTCAGCCTCCCTGGCCCAGAGGAGGGCAGGGAAGGGCAGAGATTGGATCTGGTGGGCAAATGGAGAATGCCCAGGACAAGAACTCTACTGAAAAGGTCACCTCCCAAAAAAGATCTTCACTGATCAATGTATCTAAAATAGTACCCCCCGACACATGCTATTCCTTCACCCAACTTCATTATAGCACCTATCATTACCTGACATTATACTGTATTGTTTATATATTTTCTATTTCTCCCACTAAAATATAAGCTCTACAAGGACTAGGATTTTTTCATTTGTATACTCCATAATTTAAAACAGCTCCTGCTGCATAGTAAGAGTTCAATGTGTACTGAGTGAATGAATTTAATATTCCCTTTACTATTCAAAAGTATTCACATTTAATTAAAATCAGAATAATATAATAAACTCTGAAATATACACAACACCTCTAAACTTGAGCCCTTTCTATGTTCTAAAATATCTTTCTTGTCATATTACCCTTTAGAACACAAATACATTTAAATAAATTTAATCTTCTTTTATAATAAGTAAATATATATATATAAACACATATGTATTTCATAAGGCTTTCTTTCATATATTAAAATATAAAATAACAGAATCTCAGAACTGGAGGAAACATTAAGACTCAATGACCCCAACCCTGGGCTCAATACATGGAAACTCTCTACAATGGTTCTAAGTGGCAGAGAGTAAAGAAGGAATGCAACACCTTCCCCAAAGAACATATGTTCACAATAATCACAACTGTTTATGTGTGTTTTTAGCCGTGACCTTTAATTTATAAAAATATTTTAACAATGCTGAAAGAAGACGTGAAATATTTTTGTCACTCAAATGGGGGCAAGAGCTGGTAAACGCTGACAAATATAATGCTCTACAAGGTCCTGCTTATGTTTTTATCTGTCTTCCTAATCACCACAGTGATAGGGAACTCACTATCTCAAAAACTGGTAACTTTGAGGCAGCTCTTATTGCTTTAAAGGTTTGGGTTTGGGTTTTTGTTTTCCTCTAATGTAAAAACAAAACAAAACAAAACACAGAAAAAATCTATTGTATCTCTTTAGGTCATACTTTCTCTCTTCCAGACCAAACATCCTCACCTCATCAGACCAAACTTCCTATGTCATCTTTTACAGAAAGATTCTCATCCTAGATGCTCTCCTTTGGACAATGGTCTTGTCCATTAACTTTTCCCCTAAAGTCTAGAACATAATTCTTCATCCTGGGTGTGGCTGGTGCAGCACAGTGGCTATCTCTTCCCCACACCCTAACGTGCTATTTTCAGTAATACAACTTGAAAGTACAGGTTTCATTTTTTCCCCATAGCCCCAGTACATTATTGACCTGCACTGGCCTTTTGTTGTAAATGCTGTTCAATCAAGTTTGCAAAGCAATTGGCAAGTGCGCATTTGTTCTTGTACTTAATCTGTCATCCCAAAGGCTGTTTGGGTTTTCCATAATGAAGTAACAAATGCTAACATAGGCACGATGGACCAATGTCATGATTGCCAGGAGACAGAACCCAGTTGACAGAAGTTAGTCAGACATATACTTAACTCTCCCAGGAAGCTGTTCTTTCAAACCTGTCAGCAGTTAGGGAAGGCATTACTCTGCTGGTGACATTCCACCAAATGACAGTCACTAAGGACTCACCTGCAGCGACGATGATGATGTCTGCCAGCTGAGTGTGGATCTTCAACTGTTCTTTGGGGGTGTATCTGTGAGTTATTGTCACAGTCGCATCACCTGGAATGCATAAGAATTTCCATTAATAATTACTGAGCTTTTTCAAATTTTACAAATGCTCTAAACCTAGAAGAGTTCCAGTTATTACCTAAGAGTAGAAAAGTTGTTTTGACATGCCTAATCACTCTGAGAGCAAAAGTTAGATAAGGAAATCCCCTTGAATCAAAATATTGTACCCAGCAAGTGAATGCATGGAAAATCAAATGAGACCAAATGAGGGTAAGTGCTGACCATCATAGGAAAGCTATAAGCAGGGTCCTAGAAATCCAGGATTTAAAATTCTGTACTCACTGGCTAATACATTGGTGTAGGGGATACTCATTGGCTTGATAATGACAGACAAATAAATACTGAAAATCACACGGTAAGTGCACTGAAAATGGGCAACATAGTGTGGGACACAGGTGAAAGGTCGATTCTGTCTGGGGAGGGTGTCAAGGCAGGGTTCCTAAAGGAAGCAACATATATTATTTATGTCTTAAAGCATGAGTAGGAGTATACCAATTAGGCAAGGAAGAAAAGGGCATTCCGAGCTAAAAGAATAGCAGAAAAAACAAGAACCAACGTGGAAATGATGTGTTTAGAAAAGAGTGGAGAAGCCTAGTATTTAATAGGAAATTTTTGCATGAAAACTTTAAAGCAGTGATGGTTGAATAAGAGAGGCGAGCAGCCTGAAAGACTCCAACATTTAAAGTGTGAGCCAATGAAGAGGAGTGGGGGGAAGGTGGTGATGACCTGCAGTCAAGAGAAGGGTTTTTGGTAACCACGGCTATGTGAGACTATGTCCTCTCTTCTCCTCCTGGAAGATGTGCAAGTGCTACACAGCTAACAACAACAAAAACTGCAAAATCTCCATTTTTAGAGAAAACTAGAAAACGTATTTTCCGCAGACTCCAAAAACACGTAAGAATTACCAAAAGCAGCAGGTAGTCGACATCACACAGGGAGAAAGGCAGCAAAGAAGTGCAAACAATGACAAGATGGCCAGCAGCAGCAGTTCTGAAAATGACTGCAAAAAGATACTTCCTGAAGGTGAAGCGTTCACTCCAACGTGCAAAAAATATAGTTTTCTTAATCAAGGCAGAGAGAGTAGATTAAATAAAGGCAGGGTAGCCTTGTTGGACCCAGCACAGTTGAGAGTGGGTGGTAACACACCCACAGAGAGGAGCCATTTCAGTAGGAAGCAGTCTGCTCTGTGGAAGCAGGAAGGAGTCAGAAGACTGCCCAGCGCCTCCTCCCTGACCTCCAGCAGAAGTGTCGTAAACAGGAGATCCAAGAAATTCAACTGATTCAATAATGAGTAATAAAAATGGATGTGACGCAGCATCAATAAAAGGGTGCTGTATAAGGCCCAGCCCAGGGGAATTTGGGGGTGCATTTTGGAATGAAGGTGTTTTGATTCTGGTGGCGACTAGACTAGTTATCTAATGGATGCCTATATGCATTTGTCTAAACTAATGAAACTGCACATCAGGAAGAGTGACTTTTACTATATGCAAGTTTTAAAAAATTAAATTAAAAGATACGTTTAAAAAGTGGCAGAACCAAGAAAAAACAAGGCAAAGCAAAAGCAAAACAAAAATTTAAAGGATTTACCAACATATCAATAAACTCAACAAAAAAATGTTGTCATAGAAAAGTTAAACATTATGGCTAGACATTTTACCAAAATTTTTGAAAATTAGAACTTCAGGTTATAAAAAATGGGGGAAAAAAAGAATTGAATCCATACAAATTGAACTATAATGGTCCACACTGAGACATATTTTAGTAAAGTTCCTGGGTTTTAAAGATTAAAAAAAGAATCCTATTAGTACCAGACAAAAATTTCCTCCACTCAGACTCTTTTGGTCCCCTTCCCATCTTCAACTCATGGCTGCCGAGAAAGATAATTGACCTGCCACACGGAGGCTTCTACAGGGAGTGGAGCTCAGACCTTTTCTTTTGGGGTCCTGGAGCAGACTGAGGGGGGTCCTTGGATTATGAGTTCCCTACTGTTGCTCCCTGCTGCTGCTTGCCTGGCAGCCCCATCAGAGCAGCACACACTGACGTGGAAAGACATTGAACGAGCATGGGCACTTAATGGGTGACTTGGGACCACCATCCTTATCCCTGGCATGGTCAGGGATTGATCTCTGGAACCCCAGTGAGGGGCCTGCAGGACAGACCCCATAGCCCCAGGTCACAATCTTCTTGCCCGGGGGCACAGAGAAGATATTTGTGAATTAGTCTTGGGAGGTGTGGGTGCCTGCAGGGGCAGATCAGCGGGGAGAGTGCAGAGTGGATCTTAGCTGCAGCATGCTCATGGGGCACCCTTCCTTCCACAGGAGAGCTGCACACCAACCTCAGGCCAGGATCCTGGGCAGGGAACCTCCTGGCCAGCATCACAATCATGGGGGAGCTCAGCTGGATTGAGGTCTTCTGTGCTGGCACAGGCCCAGGAGAAACCATGGAATAGGGGACAGTGGAAAAGAGCGAAGCCTGCTCCAGACTGCTGGATTATGGGTCTCAGAAGTCCTGCCTCTACACACAGACTTTCTGGTTGAATGGGGCCACTTAAGCTCCTCCCTGGCAGCTTTGACCAGAGGTAAGGAGCAGACCTTTGACCCCTGCCAAAGCAGATACTTTGCCAGCATTTGGAGCTTGAGGGTAGGCTCACCCAGCCCAGCCCCGCCCTGCCTCCCTCCCCCATCCGTCTCTGCTATGGTGGAAAGGACTCACCTGGAATTTCCAGGGCCTAACCCACCACCTAGTGGATTAGAGTGCTTCTCCTGAGGAACAAGAGATTGTCACAGGACCCCAAAACAACATTGCAGCTTGTTCCTTCTGGCAAGTGCCACCTTACTGACAGGGAGGTCAATTTGCACACACTTTACAGCATTTACTGAATCAATCATACAGGATGTGGTTGATTCTCAGCCACAAGCACCACCTACTGGCTTAGAAAATAAACTGGGTGTATCATCATCCAAACAAAAGAAAATCCCAAACTAGGAAGCAACAACTGCTCCAGATGAGAAGCAATCATTGAAAGAACTCCAGAAGCATGAAGAATCAGAGCAAAAGGACATCCCCCAAAAGGAACACTAGCTAACAACGTATACCAACCAAAAGCAGAATATAAAAATGACAGATGAAGAATTTTGAACATGTATTGTAAGGAAACTCAGTGAAATGCAAGATAAAATGGAAACCCAAAACAAAGAAACCACAAAAACAATGCAGGAAATGAATGCAAAATTCACTAAAGAAATAAAAATATTAAAGAAAAATCAAACAGAACTTCTGGAAATGAAAAATTCATTCAAGGACTTATAAAACACATTGGAAAGCCTTACAAATAGGTTAGATCAGGCAGAAGAAAGAATCTGAAAGCCTGAAGACAACATATTTCAATTAAACAATTCAGGCACAGAGATAAAGCAGAGAAATAAGAGGAATGAGCAAAGCCTACAAGAAATATGGGATCATGTAAAGAGGCCTAACATAAGAATCATAGGCATCCCTGAGGGAGAAGAAGAAAATACACAAGGGTTGGAAAACCTACTTGAGGGAATAATTGAGGAAAATTTCCCTGGCCTTGCTAGAAATCTAGATATCCAGGAAAAAGAAGCTCAAAGGACTCCTGGGAGGTTCATTGCAAAGAGGCAATCACCACGACACATAGTCATCAGACTGGCCAAAATAAACATAAAAGAGGCACTCCTGTGAGCCATAAGGTGAAAGCAGCAGGTAACTTACAAAGGAAAACCCATCAGACTAACTGCAGACTTCTCAACTGAGACCTTACAAGCCAGAAGGGATTAGGGCCCAATTCTCAGTCTTCTCAAAATGAATAATGGCCAGCATAGAATTTTGTATCCTACAAAACTAAGTTTCATACATGAGAGGGAAATACAGACTTTCTCAGACAAGCAAACCCTGAGAGAATTTGTTAAGACAAGACCAGGCCTACAGGAAGTACTCAGAACTGCATTATACATGGATTAGCAAAATAGACACCTGCCACTGTAAAATCACCCAAAAGTTGAAGGTCAAAGGCCAGATACCACAATACATCAACAGGTAAAACAAAGCAACAAAGTTCTACTCAACAAGATGAACAGAAATCCACCCTGCTTATCAATTATTTCCATAAATGAGAAGTACTTAGGCTCCCTACTGAAGAGACATAGGCTGGTTGAATGGATAAAAAAATACAAGCCAAGTATCTTCTGTCTCCAGGAAACACATCTAACACACAAGGACCCATTGAGATTCAAGGTGAAGGGATGGAAAACAATATTCCATGCAAATGGAAACCAGTAGAAAGCTGATGTATCTGTTCTCATATCAGATAACATAGCCTTCAAGTCTACAAAAGTAATGAAAGACAAACATGGTCATTATATAATGGTAAAGGGAAGAATTCAACAAGAAGACATACCAATTATAAATATTTACATACCTAACACAGGTATACCTAGATTCATAAAGCAAATCCTACTTGATCTAAACAAAATGTTAATCAGCAGCACCATAATATTTGGGGACTTACATACCCTTCTGACAGAACTGGACATATCCTCCAAACAGAAAATAAACAAAGAAACAACGGACTTAAACAGAACTCCAGAACCAATGGGCCTAACAGATATTTACAGAATATTCTACCCCAAAACCACTGAATATATATTTTTCTCATCAGTTCATGGGACATTCTCTAAGACTGATCACATCCTAGACCAGAAAACATGGCTCAACAAATTTAAAAACACAGAAATAAAACCATGCCTCTTCTTAGACCACAGTGGAAAAAAATTAGAAATCAACTCCAGTAGAAACACTTATCTCTACAAAAGGTCATGGAAACTAAACAAACTACTGGTGAATGACAGGTAAAGGAGGAAATTAAGATAGAAATGAGAAGATTCTTTGAAATAAATAATAAAGGGGATACAATTTATCAAAATATGTGGGATACAACTAAAGCAGTGCTAAGAGGAAAATTGATAGCGACA